CATAAGATACAATAACTGTCCTTGAGCAACTTAAAACATAGTTGGGGAGACATGACAGCACGAGACAACCCAAGAAGGCAATATAAATTATAGGCATTGACTATAATTGCTATCCGAGGTCAGAGAAGGATAAAATCAACCGAGCCCAAAGTCCCCGGGGATCGCTTTATGGAGATGTTGGCATTAAATCTTTGACAGGGTGGTAAATTTGGAAGGTGCTGAAGAGTGAGAATTGAACCACACTGGAAGGAATAGATGTGGAGAATGGAACTGGGAGAGAACAACATGGGAGCCGTTAGGGTCTCTGCCTGACTGAACAAGAGAGATGATATTGAAGAACAGTGTAAAATTCATGGACTGCACAGGAAACTTAAAAAAAAAATTAGTATATCCAGTATACATGATATACAATTTTTAGCTTCTTCCCCCATGGGCCTCATAAAGCTCAAATTGTGAAAACCAACATCACAGGATATAAAAATGGAGAATTTTGACGCTTAAGGCAAGAGCTATCAGCTAGCAAAATGATGTATGAAAGAGGTCATGTTGTAGAAATTTCCTAGCAGGAGCATGAAAACTGGTTAGATGATAACTCCTACATTCCTAATCCAAAAAGAATGGCAGATCTGGAGATTAAAGGCAGATTTCTTTAGAGTGAACTAAGGGTCCATTAGGAATATCCACAAAGAGGTACATTGTGAGGTGTTTCCCCTTTTCCCCTCTCAGTGCTAGAAAGAGGTGCTTCAAGGAGACTTGGTGAAGTTTAATATGTGCCCCTTGAAGTTTTAGGGGTGGTAGTGGAGACAGTGGACTGATTTCTGATGAATCTAAAAGCCAAGAGATGAGCTAATGAGCAGTTTAGGTAGAGGTGTTGAAATGGGATTAGCCTGTTTTCCCAGGGTTTCTTAGAAAGTTCCCTGTGGAACAAGTGTAGGCCATGGATGTGAGAGAGCAGTAATGACACTGTCTAGGGCCTCTCCCATAAGGCTGCCCAGGGACTGAACTGGTCTCAGAAGGTAGAAGGTGCAGGTGTCACTTGGAACTGTGGATGCAGCAAGTGATAAAGTGAGACAGTATGACTCCCATCAAGGGCAGTCCAGATGAAAGGTCCCCAGTGATTGGAGAAGGGAGAGCAATCACTGAAGAACCTGGAAAAGCATCCACTGGTTGAGAATCATCTTTAAATACATACCAGGCTTCTTAGCTCAGTGACCAGAAAGTAAACTTTCTGTCTCCATTTACCTCTTCTTTCCCTACTTTCCCTCTTTCACTTCTCTCCCACACTCCAGAGGCATTGGAGCCACAGTTACCTGGCTGGGGAAGAAGGACCTGGGGAAAAAGTATGGGACCAGTATCTCTCTCTTCATTGACTGTTGGTTTCCACTTGCAGCAGATCCTAGCTATGGAGGGGAGACAATTTAAACTTTAAATCAGCTTTTTATATGTAGCTGGGTGTACTAATTTCTAAATTGAGAATGTTTGGTGACTTAATGTAACTATAAGATTAAGTTCCAAGTGAACAGGATATGGGTAAGGCCTTATTTCTTATTAGCTCAAGAGATGCTGCATTGGTTTCCTAGAGCTACCATAACAAATCACCACAAACTGGGTGTCTTAGAAGAAGAGAAATTTGTCCTGTCACAGTTTTGGAAGGTACAAGTCAAAAATCAGAGTGACTACAGAGCCATGTTCTCTCTGAAAGCAGTAGAGGAGACTCTGTTCCATGACTTTCTCTTAGTTTCTGGTGTTGCCAGCATCCTTGGCCTTGCTTGGCTTGCTGTTGCATCACTCCAATCTCTGCCTCTAGTCACATGGCGATCTCCCTCTCTGTGCCCTTGTCCTCACATGGCATTCTCTTTTCTTTATGTGTCTGTCTTTGTGTCTCATCTTACAAGGACACTAGTCATATTGGATTAAGGGTCCACCCTACCATATAACATCATCTCAACTTACATTTTAATTACATCTGCAAAGACTCCATTTCTAAATAAGGTCACATTCGTAGGTACTAGGGTGAGACTTCACCACATCTTTTGGGAGACATAATTCAATGCACAGCAGATGTTTACCAGACTTTGGTCTGCTTGGTGATGGCACCTTGGAGCTGGGGGCTGTGGTTAGTGTGATCAAAGTCTCTTCCGAGTTTCTTTATTTCTAATCATATATGCTGTACTCTTTCAGAATACATAGTATGAGATTTTAAATCTGAAACAGTGTTTCTTAATGTATCCCTATCAGGAATGCAGCTACTGGAAATGCCTCTTTATATTTTGTCCACTTTCTCCCAGTGCTGTTGCCAGTATTTCTCTTCTTTGACATCTTATGAGCATTTTAATGAGAGGTTGAGAAGAAGCACAATGAGCATTGCAAGTGAGCCTCAGGTGAAGCTGGTCTCCGTGTCTTTTTATGATTCCAGTTCTTCCTATGCATTGTCCCAGCTCCCTGGGAAGACATATCCCTAATTACCTGCCTCCCAGCCTTAGTCTTTCAAAGTCCTTCTCTTTGGTGAAATTTTCTTAGACCAAACAGGGCTGATTGTCAACCAGCCTGCACCTGTTCAGCCATTCTGACTGATGCTTTTAAAGACTATTTTTTAAATCTCCCTTTCTTGGCTGAAGAATACTCTTTCAATGCCTTCTCTTGCTTCAATACATTATATGTTGTTTAATGATGTTATTTATACCAATTACTTGAAAAATTGTCTACAAATGTGTTTTCTCCACTAAACCATGTTTTTTTTGAGTCACTTTTTGTTTGCTGTGGTTTCTCTAAAGTCTATTCAGACCTTGGTTTGCAGTAGGAGCTCAGTAAGTGTTTTCTGAATTGGGTCGAGTATTCACAAGAATAGACAACGGCCAGTTGCTTTAAGAGAATCTTGAAGCGTATCACAGTTTGTTGGAGGGCTTCTCAGCAAAATCAAAGGGAGCCACTGCAGTGGAGTGATTGACAGCTTACTCATCTTCCTGAAATGCTGTTCAATCTTTTCCCCCCACCTACCCAAAGACCTAAAGTGACTTTTTATTTCCTTTGTCATCACAGAGTCTGATTAATAACTAGGCAAATTAGGTAACATCCAGTGTAATATGATTTTTTTTTTTTGAGGAAGATTAACCCTGAGCTAACATCTGCTGCCAATCCTCTTTTTGCTGAGGAAGACTGGCCCTGAGCTAACATCCATGCCCAACTTCCTCTCCTTTATACATGGGACACCTACCACAGCATGGCTTGCCAAGCGGTGCCATGTCCCAACCCGGAATCCGAACTGGACGAACCACGCCAAAGTGGAACGTGCGCACTTAACCACTGCGCCACCGGGCTGGCCCCCAGTGTGATATGATTTTAATCATTCCACCACATGGCTCACTAGGGCAGTAATTTTCTTTTTTTTTTTTTCCTTTTTTGATTTTTATTGCAGTGACAGTGGATTATAATATTATATAGCTTTCAGATGTGCATTGTAATATATTTCGAATTCTGTGTAGATTACATCACGTTCACCAACCAAAAACTAATTATAGGCCGTTCCCTCACATGTGAGCCTAATCACCCCTTTTGCCCTCCCCCTTCCCCCCTTTCCCTATGAAACCACCAATCCAGTCTCCGTTGCTGTGTGTTTGTTTGTCATTGTTTTTATCTTCTACTTATGAGTGAGATCATACGGTATTTGACTTTCTCCCTCTGACTTACTTCACTCAGCATATACCCTCAAGGACCATCCATGTTGTCATAAATGGCCAGATGTCATCATTTCTTATGGCTGAGTAGTATTCCATTGTGTATATATACCACATCTTCTTTATCCATTTGTCCCTTGATGGGCACCTAGGCTGCTTCCAAGTCTTGGCAATATTCACAATAGGGCAGTATTTTCAGTGGGGTTGCAAGATTTTTTTTAAGAAGAATGATGATAGTAATAGTAATAATGATGTTGACAATTATATTAGCTAATATTGATTAGTTCTATGTCCTTTATATGTATTTATCTCACTTATTTATCCTATCAGCTCTATGAAATAGGAAGAATTATCATTCTGATATTACACATGAAAAGTGAAGGCTTACAGAATTTAATTTACTTACCCAAGTTCAACCCGCTGCTAAGATGTTGTGGTGATTGCTGTTATATGACTATTCTTATAATGACTGTTATAGTCAATTAATCAATGTTGCTTTTAACTGTTAACATTTCTTCAAATAACTTTCTTAATGAGTGAATTTAAAATTCTTACCTATCTCTGTGACAGTCCTCTCTGGAAAGCTATTGCTCAGACTTGAATTTCTTATCCTCCAATCTGAACATTCAGATAATGATGCAATAAAATCTTTTATGGGATACTCCTCAAGATTGTTATATGCTAAGGGAGGGAATAAGATATATTTTCATAACTTTTGACTTCTATAAAGTACTTTCCTCCTCATTGCAGCATAGAAAAGCTCTGAAATTGCATCTCATAAGCAGGGTAATCTGCAATTATTTACAGAGTCATCCCACAATATCTCATTTTATCACTTTTGTGGAAAGACAGAATAGGAAAACACCCAAACTTTCATGAATATTTTAAAACCCATACTCACTGGGGGAGGGAGGAAAGTAAATTTAGATAATTGCAAATTCCATTTCAGTCAGTTGTATTCCAAGTAAATGTTCTGTCCCAACATAGCCTACATCTTATCTTTTGAAATGACAGAAGCTAATGCTTTTCCTTGCTCTAGTGTTGGTCTTGTTCCCATGCGAGAAAAGAGAGAGAAGGGAAGGAAACAGACTGAGTGAGTACCTGCCTCAGTCACCCATTTCCCCACCTGCAGGGGAGAGGGGACCTTTGGGGAAGTTATTTGGCATTTAAGGCAAATGGTTCCCAAGGCACCTGCTGAATGGAGCTGAATATTTTGTCAAATGATTTTCCTCTCTGACCTTTATTGCTAATGAATCTTCTTTAAGAAGTATTTAAAGAGTGAAAAGAAAGGTTGTTTTTACTAATCTCTTTTCTTTTTGCCTACAGAACTCAAAGAAATGGTGTTACCTGGCAATAGATCTGCTGTCTTTTATGAAAAATCAGGCCAAGGTAATTCTTATTTTGAATTGATATATTTTAAAATCTGTTTACCTCTGATACATGAAATGAGTTGGCTTTCTTTGATTACTGGTTTTAGCTATTGAATAACCTATCAAAAAAGTAAATCATTATCTGAAATGTAGAGGGAATGATTTATGATGATTACCATATTTATGAAGTGGACAATAAAATTTAAAATATATATTAGCTTATCAAAACATTGTGGAAAATGGTTAATTTGCTGGCACTACTCTTTCACTTATGTTAGTACATGAGTAGGATCTTGACTAGAAGATTGTATTCTCTTTGTTTGGAAATAACTCCAATCAATGTATCATATTTACAAATGCCAGACAGTAAGAGAATTAGCTTCTTGTCAGGGTACAGTGATGAGATTTTCCTTTTTATTTAAGCTTTAGTCAGATGGCTTTACATATTATTTTTTGAATACACAAAAAATTTCATTAGAAATTCCTAGAAAACTTCAAGTTTTATGAAGACACCTTCATACAAAACATATATTTTCCTTGGAAAGATTGAATTATATTATATAGTTGTTGAATAGCATGCCTGATTGTGCTCAACAGATTGCATATTTAGTTACTAAATTTTCAAATTGCTATAATTTATTTACATATGTTGGCCTAAGAATATGAATATTCATGCAAATATTCTAATAACATATATATGTAAACAAAAGGTTGGTATAGACGGAGATATACAATGCGTGTATGTTTTATGAATAAAGCTGCTATCTCAAAAGTTTTATAGAAAAGTTTCTGAAAGATCAGAATTATGATGGGAACTAGACCCGTCTATCAACTTCTAGTTGTATGTAAAGGAACACACATAATAGATTTATTGAAATGTATATTAGGCTGCATACTAATTGGAACTGATTGGGTTTTATTTTTGACAAATTGTTGAATTCCAAAAAACAAATGAGTGCTGAAACAAAGATAGCATTTAAATTTAATGGGCATCAGCAGAAAAATTTGTTTCTGAACTTTAATTTGCAGTTGAACAAAAATAAATCGTTAAGTTGAGTTACAAATTGGGGTGTTTCTACTTATTTCTAGTTTTCAGTCAATTCTTCAAAGGAGGTTTAAACCCCTTAAGGATTCAGCTTCTCTCCCCTATTTTGAATTATAGGCAATCTATTCAAGTTTTGTCTATACTAAATGTTAATTCAAACTATAAAGGATTTTTAAGTGGTTAATGACATCAATTGAAGTTTGGCTTTTACATAGAACTGTTAACTGTGACTCCCCAAAGAGAGTCATTATTATGAGAACTAATACAGACAATACGTGGAAGAGGTTGAAGCTGAGGTACGTGATACAGACATAGGGAGGGAAGTGGTAGAAAAGTGCTTGTTGAGGGAGAATCGATGGAAGATGACACAGTAAAGAGAGAAAGAAACACACTGAATGAGATGAAGTCAATGAAGAGGGTCAAGGATCCATGTCCTTTAGAATAAAAATAAAGGATGAAGGGAGCACAGGCTGTCTAGGATGCATTCGTGTGAATTTTTTCTTTTTTAGGAGGTTGTATATACTAATATATTAAATTTTATTAGGCTCTTGTTTTATTTATTTAAGATATGGACAACCTTATTTTGAACTGAATGTAAGAAAGGGAGATGTGGAGTGGAAGAAGGGTAATTTCCACTAACATGGTAAAATTCCTAGCATAACGTACCCAGAGTAATAAAATTTGCTTCTTCCTAACACGAGAGTAAAGGAATAGTTGTGTATATTGCCAGAGTCCAAGTGCTTTGGAGTGATAAAACACCCAAAGAGATTATGCTTTGTGATGTATGCGTTTGTGTGGAGGTTGGGAGTATGGTGTGGAGGAGTAACTTGAGGTGGGAGAGGTGGCATTCATGTCATCATCTCTCTGGGTTGGTCCTTTGGATTCACTGAAATAGGGTGCTTGCAATCTTAGAAAAAATCCTGTGAATAAGACAAAGAATGCTAATGTATTGATGCTCTGTCTTGATTATCTCAGATGGGTTATGTACATTTAAATTTCCATGTTTAAATAGTAGGAGTTTAAGACATATTAGTGAAGGTGCTATTTCTAGACAAATGGGACCATACATCTTTTCTCAGTTGCGCATGATGACTAACACTCATTTCGTGTAGGATTCCCTGTGGCGATGGAGCTCCGAGAGAAAGCTATTGGATTAACAGGCACTTTTGTGTGTGCAGATACCTGAAAGTTCTACATTTGACTCTTTTAACAGGAGTATTTAAATAACTTTTCATGTAGCGTTTTATTAGGTGAAGTTATTTGTGCCTGTTAGTCACAATATTCTTAATTTTGTCATCCAAAGAGAGAGGCAACTTCAACTAGTCAGGTCAAAATTATCCTTCTATATAGCTAATAAGATTACATACAAAAATAGAGACTGTTATTCTGTTCCATTTTTACATAGGTTTATCTGTCATGGAAATAGATTGAATTTCAATTAAGAAAACTTCACATCTCTAATTTATTTTTATTTTGTAAGAATAATAAGTTTTATTCTCACACATATTTAACTTTTTCTGTTTTTTCTGAAATTTTTCTGAAATTTTTCTGTTTTTTCTGAAATTGAAATGGAATATTGAGGATTCTGCAATTTTTTGATGTATTCCAGGTTGAAATCTGGGCTCAGTATAAATACAGTTATTTTTTTTTTTTTGAGGAAGATCCACTCTGAGCTAACATCTGCTGCCACTCCTCCCCTTTTTACTGAGGAAGACTGGCCCTGAGCTAACATCCGTGCCGTCTTCCTCTATTTTATATGTGGGACGCCTACCACAGCATGGCTTGATAAGCGGTGCATAGGTCTGCACCTGGGATCCGAATCAGCAAACCCTGGGCCGCCGAAGCGGAGCGCGTGAACTTAACCACTATGCCAGTGGGCCGGCCCCAGTATAAATGCAATTTTGAGAATTGAAAATAAACTGTGTCATAAGGCTAGAGTATCATATTACTTATGTTCAAGGGTATTAAGAAGTAACTTATGAATATATTATTTAAAGATTTGTTTCATCGTGGTTTATTATTATTGGCTGTAGAAAATGTTGTAGATGGAATACATGTTAAGTTTTTGAAAGGATAAAAATTTGGTATTTTAAGAGCTTACTACAAATTATATTTTATATTATTTATTACATGCCTACTATAAAGTAACAATGGAAAATAAAACATCACAACTTGCGGGTTGATTAAAACATTAATGACCATGAATTTAAATGAGAGTTAGAAATGCTTCTATGGCACGTGATGAGAGGTGTGGTGTGATTGTCACATTGACGGAATTAGATTCCATGTATGATGTATGCAATGCTTTACAAAAATATAGCTATGACATCAGGCAAAGCCTGCTACCAAAGAGTACTTAAACTGCAAGTCAGAGAATAAATCATTGAACGTTTTCATAGAGAAGTGATTAAAAAGTAATTCTTACAGAGAATTTACATGAGAAATAGCAATTATGATAATTTTACAGAATATGCCTTTTTTGGTTTATATGATTTTTGTCATTCGCAAAAGTTCTTGGTATTCTTCACTCTTCTGAGTATTAGATTCTGTGGGATACTCCATCTTTTAAAAGCTTTTTTACAAACTCACAAGACTATAAGACATAGCATTGTCGACTGCTGCTAATATTCAGGTTTTTCCATCTATTTCCCACCTGTTTCTTACTTTATTTGTTTCTCTCTTATTCCACTACCTATCCTAAACATTCTTGTCTTACCTTGTGCTGAAAAATCCACTCTGAATGCCCAATCTTCTTTGTCTCTTATTCCTCTACTTAGTAGAGAACTACATAGTAGTTCTCATGTGTGCATGTGTGTATGTGTGGTTATATGTATATGTGTACATATGTATAATTTTATTTTATTATGTATAAAGGTACACACACAGACATGGGATTTTTTTCCTTCAGTGTGATAGTAAAGAAGATCTTTCTGCCATCTACTTTTACTCCCACTTCTGAGTGAAGTAGGCAAACTTTGAATGAATGGGCTCCTTACATCTCCAGGATTTCCACTGGAGGAATATTTAAAAGGCTAACAGATTCCTTTGTATTATGAGAGTTATAATTTAGCTCTGTTTTGCATTAATTAGGACTACCTTGAGAACCTACTCTCCCTTTATCATATCTTTTCAATGAGAATAAAATCTAAAATTAAAATATACTAATTTATAAAGCAAATAACTTTCAACTATTGAAACACACTGTCTTCACCAAGGGGAGATTGCCTAATTCTGTCACCCATTGGTTTTGTGCCATGTCATTTGCACATGTCATTGGAGAAAAATCTAACCTGAGCTACTCAACAAAAGCACTGTAGCCTAAGAGCAAAACACTGCCTTATGCGGATACTGCCTACTGCATATCTTACATCAGAATCAACAGGAAAAAAAATTATATTGTAATTTGCCACCTCATTCATTCATCAATTCAGTGTTTACGTACTGTATTCATAAATGCTTCAGCTGGAGTGAGGGTACATGCAGAACTTGAGAGTCTCTCTCTCTCTCTCTCTCTCTCATTACACACACACACACACACACACACACACAGACTCACACCTTACATACATACATATAGAGGCTACAAAGTAAATCTTTTTTCATGCTTGTAGAAGTTATCTCCATGCTCCTTATCATTTTTCACAAATTTAATTTCTTCTATGTTCTTCTGTACATCATTATTCGTGGATAGCTGGAAGCCATTAAAGCAGACCCTACTAGCAATTTTTAAGTTTTCAATAACTGTTGAATCTCATGCCTAGGGATTTTGTGGCCATTTTGAATGTGTGTGTCTGTTTGCGTATATGCAGTCTGAAATAACATATTCCCAGCTGTACCATAGAGTCTTTTTAGGCTAGAACCCTAAAACTACCTAAATGCTAGGTGCGGAGGTTGGGGAAGAGCGGTGGTTATTTGGGGAGTTGAGATGAAATTAGGACTGTTGGGGTTGGAGCAGGCCTTTGGGAATTGGGGCT